GCTCTCCTATAAAAAATGGGAACAACAGAATCTGCCCCACTGTGAAGATTAAATCAGTAGTGTACACCAGTGTCTCTCAAAGAACAGTAAGGAGGCCCCTGAGGATCCCCAAGACTCTTTCAGGGGATCCATTAGGTCAAAATTATTTTTATAGTAATTCTAAGATGTTATTTGCCTTTTTCACTTGAGCGTGTGGTGTTTTCTGGAGGCTACATGTCATGTGATATTGCAACAGAATGAAAACAGAAGCAGATAGGAGATTCCAGCTGCCTGCTATACAGACAGACATTAAAGAACTCTGGAATAATGTAAAACAAAGATACCTTCACACTAATTTTTTTGTTTTTGAAAATATGGTTATTTTTCATAAAATAGATGGTTTATATTCATGTGTAGTGTCTGTTGCTACTTTTACATTAATTAATATTTATGAAATTTCTCAATTGGGTTTTTTTGTTTGTTTGTTTTGAGATGCAGCCTCGCTCTGTTGCCCAGGCGGGAGTGCAGTGGTGCGATCTTGGCTCAAGATCCCAATATTCAATTCTCCTAAGGACCCTGTATATAAATATCCTATTACACATTTTCCAGATGAGATATTTGAGGCCCAGAGAGGTTAAGCACTTGGCTGCAACCTCCACTTCCTGGGTTCAAGCAATTCTCCTGCCTCAGCCTCCCGAGTATCTGGGATTATAGGTATGTACCACAACTCCCAGCTAATCTTTGTTTTTGTTTTTTGAGATGGAGTCTCACTCTGTCGCCCAGGCTGGAGCGCAGTGGCACACTCTGGGCTCACTGCAATCTCTGCCTCCCGGGTTCAAGTGATTCTCCTGCCTCAGCCTCCCAAGTAGCTGGGATTCTAGGTGTGTGACACCACGCCAGGCTAATTTTTGTATTTTTAGTAGAGACTCACCATGTTAACCAGGTGAAACTCAGTAGAGTTTCGCCATGTTGGTCACGCTGGTCTCAAACTCCTGACCTTTTGATCTGCCTGCCTCAGTCTCCCAAAGTGCTGGGATTACAGACATGAACCACCACACCCAGCCTAACTTTTGTATTTTTAGTAGAGACAGGATTTCACAATGTTGGCCAGGTGGTCTTAAACTCCTGACCTCAAGTGGTCCACCCGTCTTGGCCTTTCAAAGTGCTGGGATTACAGGCATGAGCCACCACTCCTGGCCCTCAGCTTTAATTTCTAATACAGTCAATGTTGATAGATATAATCCATATGAACAAAAACTCTTTGGGGTCCTCAATAATTTTGAGAGTATGAAGAGGTTCCAAGACTAGGCCGGGCACGGTGGCTCAAGCCTGTATCCCAGCACTTTGGGAGGCCAAGGCGAGTGGATCACGAGATCAAGAGATCGAGACCATCCTGGTCAACATGGTGAAACCCCGTCTCTACTAAAAATACAAAAAATTAGCTGGGCATGGTGGTGCGCGCCTGTAATCCCAGCTACTCAGGAGGTTGAGGCGGGAGAATTGCCTGAACCCAGGAGGCGGAGGTTGTGGTGAGCCGAGATCGTTCCATTGCACTCCAGCCTGGGTAACAAGAGCGAAACTCCGTCTCAAAAAAAAAAAGAGCTTCCAAGACTAAAAAGTTTGAGAACTGCTAAGTGAGTCCAAGGTTCTGGCTACACAATGTGGAAGAAAGCGTCCCTGACCTTAGGCTCCCTAAACTGCATCAATCCTTTGTTCCTGGGCTGTGTCTCCCTTCCTCTGCCTGCCCTGCTGGAGGCCATAACTAAACTGCAGGTAGATGGACAATGGCCAGGATGGCGGTTGCTCAGTGACCCTGGACTAGACTCTGGGATACTCTGAGCTTCCTGTTTCTTTATCTGAAGGACCGGCATGATCAGCCAAGCAGATTTCTCAGGCACCTTGAACCACCCACATGTGAAGAAAGTGTGAACAATAAATCCTAAATCTGGTGTGTTAGGCTATTTTTGCATTGCTATAAAGAAATACCTGAGGCTGGCTAATTTATTTAAAAAATAGGCTGGACATGGTGGCTCAGGCCTGTAACCCAGGACTTTGGGAGGCAGAGGCAGGCAGATCACTTGAGGCCAGGAGTTTGAGACCAGCCTGGCCAACATGGTGAAACTCCATCTCTACTAAAAATATTAAAATAAGCCAGGTGGTGGTAGGCACCTGTAGTCCCCGCTACTCAGGAGGCTGAAGCAAGAGAAATGCTTGAGTGCAGAAGGCATAGGTTGCAGTAAGCCATGATCACACTATTGCACTTCAGTCTGGGCAACAGAGCAAGACTGTCTCAAAAAAACAAAAAGCAGGTTTAATTGGCTCACAGTTCCGCGGGCTATACAAGAAGCATAGTGTGCTGGCATCTGCTTCTGGTGAGGACTTAGGAAGCTTACAATCATGGTGAAAGGGGAAGGGGAAGCAGGTGTCTCCCATGGTGAGAGTAGGAGAGAGAGTGAAAAGGGGGAGATCCCAGACTCTATTTATTTTTGAGACAGAGTCTCAATCTCTTGCCCAGGCTGGAGTGCAATAGTGTAATCTCAGCTCACTGCAACCTCCACCTCCTGGGTTTAAGCGATTCTCGTGCCTTAGCCTCCTGAGTAGCTGGAACTACAGGTGCGTACCACCACGCCTGGCTAATTTTTTGTGCTTTTTTAGTAGAGACGGGGTTTCACCATGTTGGGCAGACTGGTCCCAAACTCCTGACCTCAAATGATCTGCCCACCTTGGCCTCCCAAAATTCTGGGATTACAGGTGTGAGCCACCGCCCCTGGCCCCAGACTGTTTTAAACAATCTTACATGAACTAACTGAGTGAGAATTCACTCCTTACCAAAGGGATGATGCTAAGCCATTCATGAGGAATCTGTCCTCATGATCTAATTACTTCCTACCAGGTTCTACCTCCAACATTGGGAATCACATTTCAACATGAGATTTGGAAGGGACAAATATTCGTATCATTCCACTTCTGGCCCCCCATATCTCATGTCCTTCTCACATTTCAAAATATGACCATGCCTTTGTAATAGTACTCCAAAGTCTTAACTTGTTCCAGCGTTAACTCAAAAGTCCCAGACTCTAAAGTCCAAAGTCTCATCTGAGACTCACGGTCAAGTTCCTTCCACCGTGAGATGGTATGGGCATTGGGTAGACATTCCTGTTCCAAGAGGAAGAAATTGGCCAAAAGAAAGAGGTACTAGGCCCCATGCAAGTCTGAAATCCAGCAGGGTGGGCATTAAATCTTAAAGCTCCAGAGTAATCCTTGACTCCATGTCCCCAGACAGTAGTGTAAGGATTGGTTTCTAAAGCCTTGGGCAGCCCCACCCTGTGGCTTTCCTGGGCATAGCCCATGTGGTTGTTCTTGTGGGTTGAAGTTGAATGCCTATGGGTTTTCCATGCTGAAGTTGCAACCTGCCAGTGGGTCTACAATTCTGGGGTCTGGAGGTGGTGGCCCCCTCCCTGCAGCTCCACTAGGCAGTGCCCTGTTGGGGACTCCGTGTGGGGGCTCCAACCCCACATTTCTCCTCAGCATTGCCCAAGTAGAGTTTCTCTGTGGGGCTCCACCCCTGCAGCAGGCTTCTGCCTGGGTACCTGGCTTTTCTATACATCTTCTGAAATCTAGGAGGAAGCTGCCAAGCCTCCTTCACTCTTGTATTCTGTGCACCTGCAGGCTTAACAGCATGTAGAAGCCACCAAGACTTATGGCTTGTGCCTTCTGAAGTTGCAGCCCACACTGTACCTTGGGCCCTTTGAGCCATGGCTATAACTGGAGCAGTGAGGATGAAGGGAGCAGCCTCTGAAGGTAGTGCAGGGCATCAGTGCCCTGGGCCTGGCCCACAAAATCATTCTTTCCTTCTAGGCCTAAGGACCTGTGATGGGAGGGGCTTTCCAAAAGGCTTCTGAAATGATTTTGAGGCCTCTTTCCCACTGTCTTGGATATTAACACCTGGCTGCCTTTTAGTCATGTTAATCACTGTGGCAAGTGGGTATTCCACAGCCTACTTGGATTCTTTCTCCACCACTGGGCCAGGCTGCAAATTTTCCAAACTTTTATGCTCTGCTTCTGTTTTAAATATAAATTCCAACTTTAGTTATTTATTTGCTCCCATGTCTCATTTGGGTTGTTAGAAGCAGCCAGACCACATCTTGGATGCTTTTCTGCTTAGCAATTTCTTCCACCAGATACTAGAGGTCATCACTCTAAAGTTCAAAGAGCCCTCGGACATGGACACAATGCAGCCAAGTTCTTTGCTAGGTCATAAAATGGGTGACCTTTACTCCGGTTCCTAATAACTTCATCATTTCTATCTTAGACCTTGTCAGCCTGGCCTTCGCTGTCCATATTGCTATCAGAATTTTGGTCACAATCATTTGTCTTCTCATTGTTTTGCATTCTTCTGAGCCCTTCAAATTCTTTCAACTTCAGTCTGTTGCCCAGTTCCAAAGTCGCTTCCACATGTTCAGGTATCTTTATAGAACAACCCACTCCTGGTACCAACTTTCTCTCTCTATATATATATATATTTTTTTTCTTTTGGCATGAAGTTTCACTCTTGTCACCCAGGCTGTAGTACAATGGCATGATCTCAGCTCTCTAAAACCTACACCTCCTGGGTTCAAGTGATTCTCCTGTCTTGGCCTCACAAGTACCTGGGATTATAGGCGTGAGCCACCACGGCCAGCCTCTGGTACCAATTTTCTGTGGGTTTTTTTTTTTTCCTTTTTTCTTTTTTGATACAGGGTCTAGCTCTGTCACCCAGGCTGGAGTGTAGTGGCACAATCTTGGCTCATGCAGCCTCCACCTTCCAGGTCCAAGCAATTCTCCCAACACAGCCTCTCGAGTAGCTGAGATTACAGGGGCACCACTATGCCCACTATGCCTGTTTTTTTGCATTTTTAGTAGAGACAGAGTTTCACCATGTTGACTAGGCTACCAATTTTCTGTGTTAAGCCTTTTTCAAATTGCTATAAAGAAATACCTGAGGCTGGGTAATTTATTTAAAACAGAGTTTTAATTGGCTTACAATTCTGCAAGAAGTGTAATGCTTGCAACTCCTTCTGGTGAGGCCTCAGAAAGCTTCCAATCATGGTGAAAGGCAAAGGGGAGCAGGTGCATCACAGGGCAAGAGTGGGAGCATGAGAGAGAAGGGGAAGTCCCAGACTCTTTGAAACAACCAGATCTTACATGAACTAAGAGGATGGTGCTAATCCATTCATGAGGAGTCTGCCTCCACGATCCAATCACTTTCTGCCAGGCCCCACCTCCAACAATGGAAATCATATTTCAATATGAGATTTGGCAGGGACAAACATTCATACCATATCATTTGAGGAGGTGAGATTCACTATAGGCTGGTCAAGAAATAGTAGAGAAATAGTACATAAATATAGGAAAAGCTTCACATGGGAGTCACCTGGGCTGGGCTTCTAGTCTTTACAAACTCTCTGTGAGGCGAGGCCAACACCTCAGTTACTGCATCTGTGAAATGGTATGTTGAACTCTTGCTTGACAATGTTCTTGCTAGAAGTGGAAAATCTCTAGGCATCCAGGCCTCCTTTTCCTTTCTCTTCTTACCTGGAAGGCAACAAGGGGTGCTGGGGAGAACAGTCAACAGCGTAAAGGACTGAATTGGGAGCTGTGCAGCCTCATCCTGGCTCTGCCAACATCCTGGGTGACCTCAAGCAAGTCCCTCTTTCTCTCTGAGCCTTGGCTCCCAGGAATTTGAAACATGCACAGCCTGGTTGAGCTCAGAGCTGGCTTCTGCATGCTCTTAAAATCTGATGGCTGGTTGGGGAGTCAGTGTTTATTCTCAGGGCCTCATGTGCTAGGCTGAAATGCCATCCCCATACCTCCTTGTCCCTTGTCAGAGGACCAGACTCTACACTATTCACTTAACAAATCTTTATTCAGTACCTCTTATTTCCAGGGCACAGGGCAGACTGGAGCCTAGAAGAGAGAAAAAACAGATATTCTCAATTATTTATATTCCTTACCACGTAATCAGGATTCCATAAATATTCACTTGGAGCTCAGAGCTAAGCTAGGGAAAAGAAAGGAGTCAAGTGTGAACGTTTTCTTAAGAGGAGCTTGAGACATCACTGAGAGAAGGCATTTGTTCATTTACTCACTCACTCACTCACTCACTCATTCATCGACAAATACTTATCGAGCACCTACTCTGTATTGGGCCCCAGGATGTGTACAAAATAGACACAGGCCCTGTCCTCATAGAAATTTCAGCCTAGCAGAAGAAGCAGACCTTAAAGAGATAAACATACCATTACAAATATTATTACACATTATGATGCCTTACATTTTAAAAATGGTATGAGAGGCTGGGCACAGTGCCTCACACCTATAATCCTAGCACTTTGGGAGGCTGAGGCAGGTGAATCACTCGAGCCAGGAGTTTGAGAAAAGCTTGGGCAACATGATGAGACCTGTCTGTAGAAAAAAAGACAAAAATTAGCTGAGACCGGGTGTGGTGGCTCACACCTGTAATCACAGCACTTTGGGAAGCTAAGGTCGGTGGATCCCTTGAGGTCAGGGGTTCAAGACCAGCCTGGCCAACATTGTGAAACCCCATCTTTGTGGAAAAAAAAAAAAAAAGACAAGATCTCACTCTGTTCCCAGGCTGGAGTGCAGTAGCACCATCATGACCTACTGCAGCCCTGACCTACTGGGCTCAAGCATTCCCCTCACCTCAACCTCCAGAGTAGCTGGATCTACAGTTGTGTCCCATGACACCTGGCTGATTTTGTAATTTTTTATAGAGATGGGTTCTTCCTGTGTTGCCAAGGCTGGTCTCCAACCCTTAGCCTCAAGCTATCCTCCATCGGCCTCCCAAAGTTCTGGGATTACAGATGTGAGACACTGAGCCCAGTCAGAGAAATTTATTGTCTTATAATTCCGGAGTCCTAAAGTCAAAATCAGTTATCACTGGGCAAACAAAAAAAAAATTTCTTTTTTGAGAGGGAGTCTTGCTCTGTGGCCCAGGCTAGAATGCAGTGGCACAATCTTGGCTCACTGTAACCTCTGCCTCCCTGGTTCAAGTGGTTCTCCCACCTCAGCCTCCCAAGTAGCTGGGATTATAGGTGCCTGCCACCATGCCCAGCTAATTTTTGCATTTTTAGTAGAGATGGGGTTTCACCATGTTGGCCAGGCTGGTCTTGAACTCCTGGCCTCAGGCAATCTGCCCAATTTAGCCTCCCAAAGTACTGGGATTATAGGCGTGAACCACCACATCCGGCCACTGGGCCAAAATTAGGGTGTTAGCAGAGCTTCCCTCTCTCCAGAGGCTCTAGGGGAGAATGGGTTCCTTGCCTCCTCAGCTTCTGGTGGCTACTATATTCCTTGCCTTGTGGTCACATCGCTGCAATCTTCAAAGCCAACACATCCTCAAATCTTTCTGCTTTGTGTTCACGTTGTCTTCTGCTCTGTGTGTGTCACATCTCCCTCTGCCTCCCACTTAGAAGGATGCATGCGACTGCATTTAGGGCCCACCCTGATAACCCAGGATAACCTCCCCATCTCAAAGTCATTCCTCACATCCACAAATGTTACCCTTTATCCAAAGAAAGGTTCCAGGAATTAGGACCTGATAACTATAGGGGCTATTTCTCAGCCTACTACAGTAGGTCACCTCAGTGTCTGTTTGGGGGAGCTTCATTTAAACTGGGGTGGTCAGAGAAGGCCTCTCCAAAAAAGAGATGCTGTCCACAAGATGAAAAGGATGAATAGGAGTTCACCTGGGGAAGAGTGTCCTAAAGAGGGAGAATGGCGTGTACAAAGCCCTAGGTAAGAAAGCGTGCCATGTGGCTAGGAGGGCCAGCAATGGGGTCAATAGAGAAAAAGGAGCTGGGACCTGAGAACCACAAAGCCAAATCAGGGATTTTCGTATTTAAGAATAAGCTAAAGGCTGGGAATGGTGGCTCACGCCTGTAATACCAACACTGTGGGAGGGCGATGGGGGCTGATCACCTGAAGTCAGGCCTTTGAGACTAGCCTGGCCAATATGGCGAAACCCCTCCTTTACTAAAAAAACAAAAATTAGTGAGACATGGTGGCACATGTCTGTAATCCCAGCTACTCAGGGGGCTGAGACAGGAGAATCACTTGAACCCAGGAGACGGAAGTGGCAGTGAGCCAAGATTGTGCCACTGCACTCCAGACTAGGTGACAGAGCAAGACTCTTGTCTCAGAAAAAAAAAGAAGAAGAAGAAGAAGTTAGAGCTAAATAATAATAAGAGGCACCAGAGTCCAACATGGTGGCTCATGCCTGTAATCCTATCCCAGCCCCTTGGAAGGCCAAGGTGAAAGGATCACTTGAGCCCAGGATGGGTGACCAGCCTGGGTGACACAGTGAGAGCCCCATCTCTACAAAAAAAAAAAAATTATTACTTGGGTGTAATGGCACATACCTATAGTCCCAGCTACTCTGGGGAGGCTGAGGGAGGAGGACAGCTTGAGCCCAGGAGTTCAAAGCTGCACTGCAGTGAGCTGTGATCATGCCATTACACTCCAGCTAGGGTAAAAGAGCCACTGAAGACTCTCACATAAGCAGGACAACATGTTCTCACATATTTTTAAAAGATTGCTCAGGCCACTGCATGAAGGCTGCACCATGAGGAGGCAGGGAGACCAGTCAGGGGACCGTTGACGAAAATTCGGGTGAGAGAGGGTGGCAGCTTGGCCAGGGCAATGGCTGGCATTGGGAGCAGTGGTCAGAGAAGGCACAGGTCTTGGTGATAGATTGGATGGCACAGGGCTGCACCCTTGACCATGAGAATTCAAGGCTGTCTTAAAAAAGAAAATCCTAAAATCCATAATTTTTTTTTTTTTTTGAAACAGAGTTTCACTCTGGTTGCCCAGGTTGGAGTGCAATGGCGTGATCTTGGCTCACTGCAACCTCTGCCTCCCAGGTTTAAGCGATTTTCCTGCTTCAGTCTCCCAAGTAGCTGGGCTTACAGGCACATGCCACCACACCCAGCTACTTTTGTATTTTTAGTAGAGAGGGTTTCACCATGTTGGTCAGGCTTGTCTCGAACTCCTGACCTTGTGATCTGCCCACCTTGGCCTTCCAAAGTTCTGGGATTACGGGCATGAGCCACTGCACCCAACCCTTCTTGTCTCTTTCTAGGCACTCATCATAGCACCTGGCATATGTCAGGCCTTCAGTCCAAAGATGATAAATGAATGCGCCTGTGATGTAGAAATGAAGGTTTCTGGGAGTTAGGAGTTGGAGACCACACCTAAAGGCACTATGGCATGTGAGTTGGCTGACCTGAGCTCTCCCAGAGTTCCTGTATGGGGCTGGCCCCAGAGCAATGCCCCAGGAGGTGATGAGAGAGGGAGGGAAGGAGGACAAGAAAAGATAGTCTTGGCTGATGAGTAGGAGAACATTTCTGCCCCCATCACTAAGCCACAGAATCACCTCTCAGAGATTTTTCTGCTAAAGGTTCCTGACCACATGTCAGTGGAACCTAAGCAAGGGTTTCCTCTGTCCCCTGACCTTCAGTGGAACCTCAAATCTGGGTAGGTCACCCATTGGTTCTCAGGGGTACAGGATGGATGGACAGAGAGCAAAGCACTCAGCAAGTGAAGTGGGAAGAGACACAGTCTATGCAACCTCTCTGGGTGTCAGATTCCGGGATGTGTGTGATTCCAGGCAAGTTGCTTCACCTTTCTGAACCTCGGCTTCCACATCTGTGAAATGGAACAATAACAGTTTCTACTTCACAAGGCTATAGTGAGAATTAAGTGGAAAGAGACCTGTAAAGTATTTAGCACAAGGCTTAGCACATAGTACGTGCCTGATAAGTATTTATTATTAAAACCAGGCACAAGGCCAAGAGCGGTGGCTCATGCCTATAATCCCAGCACTTTGGGAGGCCGAGGCAGGCAGATCACAAGGTCAGGAGTTCGAGACCAGTCTGGCCAATGTGGTGAAACCCCGTCTCTACTAAAAAATACAAAAAATTGGCCCAGTGTGGTGACTCATGCATATAATCCCAGCTACTCAGGAGGCTGAGGCAGGAGAATTGCCTGAACCTGGGAGGTGGAGGTAGCAGTGAGCTGAGATTGTGCCACTCCTCTCCAACTGAGTGACAAAGCGAGACTCTGTCTCAAAAAATAAAAAATAAAAATAAATAAAACCAGGCACAGTTGGCCGGGTTTGGTGGCTCATGCCTGTAATCCCCGCACTTTGAGAGGGTGAGGAAAGCAGATCACCTGAAGTCAGGATTTTGAGACCAGCCTGGGCAACACAGTGAAACCCCATCTCTACTAAAATACACAAAAAAAAAAAAAAAAAATAGCTGGGTGTGGTGGTGCGTGCCTGTAATCTCAGTTACTTGAAAGACTGAGGCAGGAGAATTGCTTGAACCCGGGAGTCAGAGGTTGCAGTGAGCGAGATTGCACGATTGTACTCCATCCTGGGTGACAGAGAGAGAGTCCATCTCAAAAAAAAAAAAAAAATAGTTGGGCATAGTGGTGCACACCTGTAGTCCTAGCTACTGGGGAGGCTGAGGTGGGAGAATCACTTAAATCCATAAAGCAGAGGTTGCAGTGAGCCGGGATTGTGCCACTGCATTCCAGCCTGGGCAACAGAGTGAGACTCCATCTCAAAAAATAAAATAGAATAAGATAAAATAAATGGCCAGGCGTGGTGGCTTATACCTGCAATCCCAGCACTTTGGGAGGCTGAGGCAGGCAGATCACCTGAGGTTGAGAGTTCGAGACCAACCTGACCAACATAGAGAAACCCCGTCTCTACTAAATATATGAAAATTGGCCAAGCATAGTGATGCATGCCTGTAATCCCAGCTACTCAGGAGGCTGAGGCAGAAGAATCACTTGAACCTGGGAGGCGGAGATTGCAGTGAGCCAAGATCACGCCATTGCACTCCAGCCTGGGCAACAGGAGCAAGACTCCATCTCAAAAATAA